ATCGGGTCCAGATAGTCCGCGGTGAGATTATCCACGCAGAGCTCTAGAGTACGAAGACCCTGACCGACAAGATCCGAGCCAGCACGCAGAGCAACGACCAGTGGTCTCATCAAGTAACTGAGATGTGGCAACAGGTTACTAAGTCGTGCCGGCACTGTGAGAGATAGTTCAACGAAGAGATCCCTTTCAGCCGGCTTGCGCGCCGTCAAAAGAAGGTTGTTGAGCACGTCGAGTAGCATTTCCAGCAGGGGAAGGATTTCTTTGTACAGATGCTCGAATCTACCGCCACCAATACTTCTGAATAATGACCTAAGCAGGAGGAAGTAATTCATGGGTTCTTCGGCAGTCGTGGACAGCTGAATCGACTTCGTTATGATCTTGCTGACGTGTGGTAATAGCACTTGCTCATTCTGGGCAGAGAAGAGCGTAACGGCCATGAAGGAAAGTTTGAAGAGGCGAAGGAGGATGGAGGACTTCTTCACATCGGCAGTGCCAACCTCTTCGATTCGGTCCATAAGAAATTGCAACAGCATCCCCGAAAAGCTGGGTGATGTAGCCTCGGAAGCGAGAAGGAACTGTGGAACGTGAAGTAACGCCGGGTGATCGAACATCATATCGTACAAATGGGGTATCTCGGATGAAAACACTTCGTGGAACGTGGCTGGATCGATGTGGTGGAAGACAGTTGCAAACGTCTCCAAAAGGTCCTTCTCTTCCTTGCCACTCGACATCATATGCTGGTTGCCCATGAAATCTCCCGGTGACAAGCCTTGTGTTTCAGGGGTCTTTTCAGTACCGTAGTAACGGAACACCTTGGCACCTTCGCGGAAAAGCTTGATAAGAACTTCCACCTCTTCCGCGTTGTAGCCAAACGACACTTCATGCCAGTTTGCAGACGCGTTGGTCGGATCAATCTCGTCCTTGATCTTGGCTGGGTTGCAGGCTCTTAGCTGATAGAACAGATTCTTCAGCCCATGGAGCAGGTTCTTGAACAGAAACTTGTTGTCGGCAATGGGATCGGAGCTCCGGTCTCGTGGGTTGGACGTCTTGATGGGTGTCGCGTTGGAAATGTCGATTTCGTCCCAATCCGGGGGGTTTTCCTGGACAGCCATGTGGTTCTCGTCGACCGCATCAATGGACGGTTGGCTGTACTGAGCTGAGAGCTTGACAGCGTTGTGGTATTGTCGGTTCATTGCCGCGAACTTGTCACCGATGGCATTCAGTATCATGATCAAGAAGTATCGCGCGTCCTCCTTAGGTTCCAATTTCGCGATGCACTCTGCCATGTTCAGCAGAAGCTTCGCGCTCATGGTCTGGAAGCTGGTTCCGGGAAATGTGTCGTGCAAATTCTTCGTGTAAACCTCAACTGTGCGTCGAATCTGCTCTTTCGACAGAGATTCTCGCAGATGGTGGATCAGATCGGCCAGCATGCTGTATGCGAGCGGACGCATGGTCTCGTACACTGTCAGGCCATCCCCGATCAATGTCTTCTCGTCCAGTAGCTCGTCAATCTTCTTGAGGAAGATTTTGCGGAAGTTGAAGTTGATGATATGCCTAATAGCGACTAGTAGCTCTTTCCGTGCGCCGGACTTTTCGCGTGGACAGTCCTTGAGCAGTCGGACGACGATATCAGGAAGGGTCGGAAGGAAGTCGTTCAGCTGGTTTGCATACACCCTAAGTAGGTAAGCCAGAAAACTCATGGTTTTAACCTGAGCTGTTATGAAGTCGCCAAATGCCGCGCGATTGCGAATGTCTTTGCTGACACCAGTGAAGATTTTGCCCTGCGCCTTGGCCTCCTCATGTGCCTTCTCTTGTGGCTTCGCCTGGAGCAAAAGTACGTTCTTGATCAGTGGTACAAAAAGTTTCACGTTTTTGTTCACACAGTTCCTGTAGGCCTGGAACAGAGATACCACAATTATTGGACACTCTGCGAGGACCTTGAACGACTGCATTCCCTTGAGCAGCATACGCGTTTGCTGGTGTTCCGATCCGATATCGCCTGCGGAACCAGATGTGAGGGCGGTCGCTGGCGAGCTCGGGCGTGGGGACTGGGAGAATTGGTGGTTGTTCGGGGTGGAAGGGACGCCTTGCGAGGCCGAAGCTGTCGTGTTGCTGTCGAAGGTATCGTGCACCGCCTGCTCCATCGTCTCGAACATTTCCTGAATCAGATCCAAGAATGGCTGAACTCGGTCCGCGAGCGCCTTGGTTTGGTGGCGCTGAAAGTCCATGATGGTCTTCATGCACAGAACCGCATTGTCCTCGTTCTCCAGCTTCACCAAGCTCATGAGTTTGTCGACGATCTTGGCCGCGTGCGGTTCTATGGCTTCGGTCGGGTTCATCGGAAGACGGTGCAGGATCTCGAGGACACAGTTCCGTATGCGCTGTTTCTGAGTCAGAAGGCTGTAGAGTTGTCGCAAGTTGTGCGCTCACCTGTTCGGGCGACGTGGAAATGAAGACCGGGTTGCCATCTAATATCTTGAGGAACACAGGGACGAGGTGATTCAAGAACGAGGCGTACTGCTGCCCTTGGCAGTAGTTCTCAATGTTGTCCCGGATTTCAATCGCCTGGGTGCCCTTGACTCTGAGATCTGCGCCAGTCAGCCTATGTTCTCTTGTGATGATGCGCGCGCATGTTGTGGGCATGCAGCGCGTGCAATGTAATGTGTACCAGAGTTTGGGTCGTCCAACTTGGAGGCCATAGCCTCGAAGTTGTGAGTCGCCATGGCGATGTTGCGTGCAGCCTATAGCCGCTCCTCCACCTTGTCGAAGTCCTCGTAGACTGTGCCCTGCAATGGCGCAGCTATCCAGTATGTGGCGCGATCAATGTAGCGGAAGACAGGCGCATTGGTCTCGGTGGCACGCGGTGGTGTGTGGAATCGGGTGCAGGTCGCTGCTGTGTCGAATATTAAATTTTGAAAAGGAAGGTGCAGGCGAGATGGCCTATATGGTCATTACAATCGTTATTGTGGAAGTGAGGCCTGGTGGTGGGGCGAGGGCGCGTCCCGAGTGCGGGTATGGAGTCGCGACTTGGAGTGATGGATGAGCTTCTGCAGAGCACTTAGCCTGGAGCTGACGAGCGAGGGAGGCACGCCGACCCCCAAAACTTAGCGCGTCGCTCTCATTGGTTGGCGCCACCCCTGTGCGCCGTGCGGGTGGCACCTTCCAAACCATGTCCGGCATATATCCAACAGTCATCTCTCTACACCAGACTTCAGCTGGTTTTGGCAACCTGGTGTTGATGTGTGCTTCTTATGTGATTTGGGACGTGATGGATATTATTGAACGCGATTCATCGCGCCACCATCTGCAAAATGCATGTGCGAAACTCCTGCAGAGCCGCGACGGCAACGCATTCCTTCCAGTGCATGCTTCGGCGGACTAAGATCACGACGAACACTGCATTCAGAAGTTCACGGGTCAAATGGGACCTGACGCAAGATACAAACACTGTACATCTATCCAACTACCTGCCGTCGCTTGACTCACCCTTCATAACCTCCCAGTCATATTCAATTCTGGCGTTATATTGTGTGAAACAGAGAACATCACCATAGTTATACAAGGCCACGCATCCACGTCCGGTCTTCCGTCTAAGATAAGAAATGGAAAGGTTGACATTTACATTGTTGGAGAGGCGCACCATGGTATTCGATGTCAAAATGTGGGGGCGAGAACTTGGGGACAACGAATATGCGCAGCCTGATCTTCTGATCTCTACTTCTCATCGGGGTACATGGCCTCCTTGAGAGGAATGCCGAGCTCCTCGCGTATGGGCTCGAGCTCCTGGAGGTACTCTGCGTATTGACCCTTGTTCTCGACCTTGAACTTGATACCTGTGACGTATGTTAGTAATCAACGTCTCAAGGTTGGCCGGATGCCGAAGTAGCGTATTCCAGAGTCCGTATGGTTCCCTCTTGTGTAAAAAGAGACAGAACTGATATTGGGAACGTAGTAGAAGACGTACCCTCGAAAACCCGGACAGCTGAGGGGAAGTCGTTCACGCGCCTGGCAGCGCGGAGAGCGGCGGTGATGACGGTGGTTGAGGGAACGAGATCGTAGGCGAAGCAGTTGTTCAGGTTTCGCTGGCGATTGTCAGCCTATTGCCTCTGTTCGTGGCATCCTACAGTTGCCCAACCCGTGTCGGGTGAGATCGGTGGGGTCACATCGTGGAGACAACAACGTACCTGAAGCTCGAAAACGTCGTTGACCTTCTCGAATTCCTTCTCATATCTGTATCGAAGAAACACAAGTCAGCGATGGAGCTCCTGATATCATCAATGGCGCTCAATGGCTGTCCATGATGTCCACATGACTCCTGCCCGTCCGACTCTACAGCCCCTCCTCGGATTGGTCGTACCTGGCGGTGAATTCCTCGAATGTCTCCTCGGCATGCGCATCGCTCTTGCGGACGGCCGACTGCGAGAAAGCACGCTGGGTGTTCAACGCAACGGGGGTTGCTCGGTAGGCCGGGACTCGCACGCCCACTCGGCTGACCTTCGACGCGGCGCGGACGAAGGACATGTTGCGATTTGAAGAGCTACTGGCAAGCTACGGGAGGTGGATTCGGGGCTGCTGGGCGTGCGTAGCCGGCAGTGTGTCGATGAGTAGTGGTGTCGGTGGTGCGATTTCGCGTGAGGTTACGAAAACGAAAGCTCAGGCGATCTGAGTTGCGCCCAAGCCAAGCCGTCTTAAAAGTGGGTCGCACCCGTTCCTGAGACTGATGGCATAGTCGCATCGCCGCACATAATAATATAACTTATGGTTGATCTGGAAGCATTCATCATATTTTCATGTTCATTTGAGTTATCTACATGCGCGCTACATTGCCTTTCTAAGCAATGCACGCTATTGTCTTCCAATGTCACTGACTCACGCTCTGCCTCCAACTCTAGAAGGGATCAATGAAGCTTGATAAGCGAATAGCTACGAGCGCGAGAATGGAAACATTTTAGCTTCTATCCATAGATTCTCGCACTGTCGTATGGATTCTTCAAGATTTTTCATACCCTGTAATAACCGCCAAACGGGACTGGTCCCTCTGATGCCGCTCGGACAGACATGACTGGGCTGTCGCTGTCGTCATCCAGCTCTGAGCTGCCAGACAGATCATCGTTCCTGCCACCGGCCTGTATCTCTTCGTCTTCGTCTTCATCTGCCTCGCCATCTTGATCATCCTCGTCGTCCTCCGCATCCCCGATGTCAGCGTTCAGAAGAGTATCTGGCTGTACAGGATCTTCGGTCATGTCCTCCGGAACCTCGACATCGTCTGGCGCCTCATCTCCGTCAGCGTGGTTTTCAGGCTCATCAGTCTCCTCCATTTTCTCGAAGGCGTAGCGCGGATTTCTTGCAGCCCAACGCACGTTGTGCATCACTTGGTGTTCTCTCCTCTTCTCGTGGTGTATGTGACGGTCGTCGACTTCACTCTTGTACTGCGCTGCCATTTCCTTATCGTCCCACAGCTCAGGCCATTCAACGATACGCTGATATATGCTATCATCCGGTTTATCGCCGCCAATAATTGCGTTCATCTTGTCCTTCAAGATGACCGTTGCTTTGGCCCAAGTGCCAACGTGATACCACCCTTGGAAGGTGGGTGCACAGGTTGCTCGAATGTCCTTTGTAGCCAAAACTTTCGCAATGAGAGGATCGGTGATATCGCAGAACTGGAAGAGGTTGCCTGTTCGCGAAACATTGACGCCATCAAATGTGTGCTCAGTCTCCAACTCTTCCGGTGACATCTTTGCTAGCTTCAAGACATGCTGATCGAAGACCGCGCGGTGCTTTGATGTGCCGGACTTGATATAAGACAGGAAAGACACAGTCTGATATTTGCGATACTCAGGGTCTTTGCGAGGATCCACTCCCCAGCGGACAAGAGCCTCTCGCCAGGGCCCGCTTTCGAAGAAGAATCCGCAATAGATGGCTGCTTGCCGAAGCTTGGTTCGCTTGTCCCATCCCAGTCTGTTGTAAAGTAACTGCCGGGTTACTATGGGTCTCTGTAAGAGCAGAGTTCTAATGTTTGCGATCAGTGACTGCATATAGGGGGAAAGATCCCTCTCTGCTGGAAGACCGGGTCGGGGTCCTGTCGGTACATGTTCGTCTGTGGGTTTGACAATTGTGTATGCGTTGTAGGCGAGGCTCCTTTGTATGTTGACAACACCTTGATCGGTGTATTTGACGTTTGAGTTTTGCTGGAACCGATAGTTGAAGGCGATTGGCATCTGTATGAACTCTGGCGATGGCCCAACGCTTTTGGCCAGATCTGCACCGGCCGCAGTGTTGACATTATACTTCAATAACTGTTCGTCTAGGATGGGTCAGTGATATTCTCAGTATATTGGGATTAGTCTTACATCGTTTCGGCAGGACGTGGTCTCGCAGACCGACCATGGTCTCGTTGTGAGAAGCAGCATACTGCAAGTCGGGCATATCTGGAGAGTCAGTGATGGTTCTACAGAGTTCAAGAATATGCTCGACTCACTTCGGAACCGATGAGTTTCATCTACCACTCCGGCAAGAGCAACCTTGTACGTCGAGGCATTGTCTTGCAGGCTCCTGTATATGGTTGGTGCATCCACATATGTCTTGTTGGTCAAAGGGGTGCTATCCGATAAGCCAGCGCCACCACTGGCGATTTCATCTTCAGTAAGGAAGGGCCCTGTGGTTCCACGCTTTCGTTTGCGTCCTGTCCGTTTTGGCACCGTGACCTTGATGAGAAGGTTGTTCGTCCTCACAGGCGTGGACAGCAAACGCTTGGCAAAGGGGTCGTCTGGGCGCAGCGAGACAGAGATGAGTTTCTTGAGCTCGTCGTCACCCTCGGCGTTGGTCGTGGTTTCCAATCGTGATCGCAGGCCCTGGGCGAGTGTTAGTCTCTCCCAAAGCGGTAGGCACTGCTATTGCCTGCTGACCTTGCTTAGTTTGACAGGCCCACCTAATGAGGTAATGCCCTTGTCAACGTTTTTGATGATAGCGGGATGTTCGACAACGGAGACGGCACGTGACGGGATGGGCAGCCAGGGCGCATGCTCGTTTTCGGTCGGCATGGCGTTGTCCATGTTGGGTTACACGATGGAAAGGTGCAAGCTCAAAACGCTCTGGTGGTGAGATTCACGAGAGTTTGTAGCCGTCCAAGATTTTCTGTCTACTTCGGCCGGACTACCTGGGTACGCCCGTGGTAGGTGTTCGAGAGACAAGTGATGAGACCCTGAGCCAGTGCGAGGCCCGTCGCCGCTTCTCTATAGAGACAGGGATCGATCTCGCGATGACTCTCGTGCAAAGCGCCAGATCAGATGATACGAGGCTGCCGCGGGCCCAGCAGCGGAATAGTCTCCCGTCTCTCGCGCAGTCGCTCCCTTGACACGCCCGCCGTGCTACTTCACTCTCGCAGCTATCCTGGATGTCGTGACGGCTGCGGCGGGGCTTTTGGCCCAAACGCACGGCCTCGCTACGGGACGGCTAGCGCGAATCACTCGACGCTGTCTGTCTGGCAGCAGCCCTGAGTTGTCAGTTGACGACCTGCTCCAACTTGTCCCTCCAGCTCCAGAATACACGCCTCGCCCTCAGCCAGAGCGCCTATACGTCACCAGCAACTTGTTAGGGCCCCGGCTGCCGTCTGACCCCCCCTCGCGAAGCTGCTCCCTCCACCGACTCCCCGTGCACCATCCTAGACGGCTACACTAGCCACCATCTATTACCTCACGCGTCTCTCCTCCATGTCGGCCTGAGCCCTACGCTCTCCTGTGTCCGATTCACCGTGTGTGCGCCTGCCATCTAGTCCCCATTGGCGCTATCGGCTTGCGACCTGTCCCCCGACGCCTCGAGGCCAGCCGCCATCTCGGACGCCCGTTTCTGCAACACCGCTGCGCTTGACCTGGCCGTGGGCGCATTCCGACAGCCATGAAGGGCTTCAGGCAGAGGGTCGTAAGTGCTCGTCCTCCCCATGGACCCCGGCCACACCACGCACCCCCCTACCCCTCTCTATGCGCGGAGGCTAACATGTATAGTCCGAACAGCTCTCTCGAAGCAAGGATAGCAAGTCATCTAAGAAGAAGGACTCCACCTCGGGAACTGCATCGCCGTCGCTGGGTGCTTCCAACTCCCCCTCGGGCTCTGCCCAGGCTACGCCTTCCTCGTCGCAGACGCAGCTCACCGATGCGCGAAGCAAGAGCCAGCCCGCCGCCGATGGCGCTTCGGCCAACATTGGGTCGCTACAACAGAACCCCCAGCCCTCGTCCGGTTCCCTCGCGGGTGGACCCCAATCTTTCGGCGGACAGGGCATGATGAGCCCCGGTGCTGCTGGTAACGCTGGCGCTGCAGGTCCAGGCACGCCCTCTAGGTTGGGGCAGCCCCTGGCACCCAGCGTCGTCATCAGCCCAAGCGCGCCTGTAAGTACCCGCGCATCAACCGATATGTGTTTGGTAGGCTAACCAGTGCCATAGCATGTGCCTCCTCCTGGCGCTGCCGAGACGATGCCCGGTGATCTTGCGCCTCCAAAGGCGGGCCAGAAGTCGGGAATATTCGACCGTCTTCAAGCGACGCCCAAGGACAACATCGAGGGCATGCGAACCCCGAAGAGACAACACTCGTCGCGCTTCGACATCTCGGATCAACGTCAGCGTGAACTGGAAAAGCTCCCCGGATTCCACGAGGTGCCCCCGAACAAGAGAGAGGAACTCTTCATGCAAAAGATCGACCAATGCAACATCATCTTCGACTTCAACGATGCTAGCGGAGACATGAAGTCAAAGGAGATCAAGCGCCTGGCTCTGCACGAGCTGCTCGACTATGTCGCCAACAACCGCCAGGTCATCACCGAGAAGATGTATCCACGCGTCGTGGAGATGTTTGCGAAGAACCTGTTCCGTCCTATCCCGCCCCCGATGAACCCCCAAGGCGAAGCTTTCGACCCAGAGGAAGACGAGCCGGTGCTGGAAGTAGCATGGCCGCACATTCAGGTAGTCTACGAGTTCTTCCTTCGCTTCATCGAAAGCCAGGACTTCAACACGAACATTGCCAAAGCGTATATAGACCACAGCTTCGTGCTCAACGTACGTACCCGACCTGTCCTCTAGATTCATCTAACTAACACCAGCAGTTGCTCGAGCTATTCGACTCGGAAGACCCCCGAGAACGCGACTTCTTGAAGACTACGCTCCATCGCATATACGGCAAATTCCTCAACCTCCGCTCCTACATCCGCCGATCCATCAACAACGTCTTCTTCCAATTCATCTACGAGACAGAGCGCTTCAACGGTATCGCCGAGCTTCTCGAGATTCTCGGGTCCATCATCAACGGTTTCGCTTTGCCATTGAAGGAGGAGCACAAGCTATTCCTCACGAGGGTGCTCATCCCGCTCCACAAAGTCAAGAGTCTGAGCATGTACCATCCACAATTGGCGTACTGCATTGTCCAGTTCTTGGAAAAGGACGCGGCATTAACAGAAGAGGTAGGGACATACGCCAGATCCAATAGGCTAGGCTTACACGTTCAGGTTGTTTTGGGTCTTCTCCGATATTGGCCAAAGGTGAACAGTACCAAAGAAGTCATGTTCTTGAACGAAGTAGAAGACATCTTCGAGGTTATGGACCCCGCCGAGTTCGCAAAGGTTCAGGAGCCGTTGTTCAACCAGTTAGCCAAATCAGTGGCCAGTCCTCATTTCCAGGTCGCCGAGAGAGCGCTGTACTTCTGGAACAACGAGTACTTCTGCAATCTGGTTAGCGACAACGTTGAAGTTATTTTGCCAATCATGTTCGCACCACTGTACGAAAACTCAAAGGGACACTGGAACCGGTACGTATCTGCACTCTGGTGACATGGCTTGCTTGCTGACTATCTGCCCAGAACCATCCACGGCATGGTGTACAATGCTATGAAGCTCTTCATGGAAGTAAACCCGCAACTCTTCGACGACTGTTCGCATGACTACGCCGAGTCACAAAACAATGCAACGCAAAGACAGCAAAGTCGACAAGATCGCTGGGACAAGCTCGCCAAGCTCGCCGAATCACGTTCAAACGGCACTGCAGAGAAATCCGCCGTCGACCCGATGCGTATGGACGACTCGGAGTCACGTTTGGAGAACCTCCGTCTACAGGATGACGGAACAGCATCGAGAGAGAGGCGGCCAAAGGAATATGAGCGTCAAGGCAGCCAAACCTCGGTACGTTGATTCTTAAGTCCCTAGAACTCTGGATGAGCATTCTGTGTGGCCGAATCGATGTACTCTTAATTCTATCCCTAGACTCCTAGGTTTTCTTCCTTTTTTCCCAAGACTTGCATTTCGGTTCAGGTGGATCTGACGTGTTTGTGCTTTGCGTCTTTGTAGCGACGGCATCATACTTCGCAAGGGGAGCACCACGTTTCGTCCAGCGCTCGCCGCTCGGCTGGCCGACCACGTAGCAACAGTCGCCCGAATTCTTCTTCTGGCCATGTCGTCTCGTCGCGACCATCAGGTGGACGTGCAAGGTCGAATTCTGGAGGTACGATTACCCGGGTTGTTAGCCCTTGATTTCTTGGGTGCATCCATTCTCTTCTCTTTTTGCTGCCTTGCTTCACTGCCAGTCTTTTGAGGGCTGATTGTAGTCGCGATATCATGTGGTTTATCTGGCATCAAGCGTCGCAGTTTCTTTGGTTCTTCCCAAAACAACATGGAACGTTTCATTGGGGTGGTCCGGATGATGTTTCTTGTGAAGACGACGAAATAGGGACTTTCTTCACTGATAGACGCGGAATATAAAGAATTTCTAAAGAATCTTGATTGCTTCGCAGATCAATCGTGAGCTGTGCGCTGTTGAGAACTATCGTGAGCTCTGATAGAAAACTTCTTTCACGGATGAGTGGTATTGTTGTTTACTTCGTTTGCGTTGTGGTAGCCAGTGCTGAGAGAGTTGCAAGGGAATCCCATACTGTCGAAGCCATGCAGGCTAAAATTACCACGCGAATAGACACGGGGAGCCGCATAGGTTTCCTTGCCATCCGGTTTGGGATGTCGCTAACTTCAAGGGGCGCCTCGGCTTTCGGAACGCCAAGAGATCCGGCTCGATGCCACGTTCTGGGAGGCTTTGCTTCTACTTTGCGACAAAGGCCAAAGTGTGGTTCGCGCCGAGTGAATCGCAGAGACGGTGGACAATGTTTGCATTACAGGACTTTACGTCAGTTAGGCCTAAGTACACGCTATCCACGAGCCAGCGTGGTAATGCATACGTGTGTGAACATGGTAAAGGTAGTCAGCGGCGGTCAGCAGCGATACCAAAGTAAAAGGAGAGCAATACAGTAGCGTAGCCAATAGTAAACAAGTCAATGGCCTCGGTCTGCAATGTGTCGTAATTTGGACGTGCAACGGCGCGTTGGGCCCAGGTGCGGGAGAGGCGGAAGACCCCAGCAGTCATTTCCGACCTCCTTTCCGCGCGCAGCCAGAAAACATTGCTGGCCCTTCATAACCTTTTGCGCATCACCTCCATCTGGCTCGGTGTGAGATTTACTTCTTCACATTTTCTCGTCACTCCTTTGTGCTTTGCACTTGCTCGGTCGCGGTTGCCTTCTCTTCCTCCACGTTTGTCTTGTTTACCTAGTCGCTTTGCTAGGCTCAACCCTTTAAATCCCCACGTCCAGGGCTTCCACCGTTCCGAACACCACAACACCAACCTCGACCGTCCCAACTCATACTTGCACACAATGGGTGGCCCAGATTGGCTTGAAGTCGGCGCGCCGACGCTCGACCGTCCCTTTGGCCTGGCATTATGGCCTATTTTCGAGAAATGCTTCGAGCCCATCGCGGGCTACAAGCCCCAGGACTTCCGCTTCGTCCAAGGAGAGACGCCGCTCTCGACATTCAAGGTCTGCGTTGTCACGCTGATTACCTACTACATCATAATCTTCGGCGGACGAGAGCTCATGCGCAACCGTGAGCCCTTCAAGCTCAACTTTCTCTTCAAGGTCCACAACTTCTACCTCACGGCGATCAGCGGCACCCTACTTCTCCTCTTCGCCGAGCAATTGATCCCCATTGTTGTCAGGAAGGGTCTTTTCTTCGCCATCTGCGACCACCAGGGTGGATGGACCGACAAGCTGGTCATTCTGTACTACGTAAGTACTTGCGCCGAGATGCTCAGGATGCTGCTAACATGTGCAGCTCAACTACCTCACTAAGTTCCTCGAGTTGATTGACACTTGCTTCCTGTTCTTGAAGAAGAAGCCATTGAGTAAGTGCAACAAGCCAACATCGACGTCGCATCGCTAATAAGCCCAGCTTTCCTCCACACCTACCACCACGGCGCGACCGCTCTCCTCTGCTACACCCAGCTCATTGGTCACACTCCCGTCTCATGGCCCGTCATCACTCTCAACCTGGCTGTACACGTTGTCATGTACTGGTACTACTTCCAGAGCGCGCGAGGAATCCGCATCTGGTGGAAGAAGTACATTACCGTCGGCCAGATCACCCAGTTCGTCCTCGACCTCGGTAAGTCCAATTCCACCCATATTCCATATCACACACTAACAACATGCAGGCTTCATCTACTTCGCCTCGTGGACCTACTTCACAAGCACCTACTGGCCACACATGCCCAACATGGGCAAGTGTGCTGGTGAGGAGTTTGCTGCCATCTCCGGCATCTGCATCATCACGTCGTACCTCTTCCTTTTCCTCGCCTTCTACTTCGCCACGTACAAGAAGCCGGTGCCCAAGGGCCGCCGCAGGGCTACAAGCGCATTGGTGGAGATGAAGGACGAGAAGGTGCCGACTGTTGGTGAAGCTCGCAGGCGTCTTTCGACCTCGCGTGCTGGTGTCACTAACGGTGTCGCTACAGGAGCTTCGCCCAACGGCACACCCAACGGACGCGCGACCCGCAGCCGCAAGGCCTAAGCTCGATCGTTCGGAGGACATGCGAAGTGCTGTGCGGCAGATAGAGCTCTTTGAAGCACTGGACGACGCACAACGGCCTCTCGCCGTCGAAGCACTCGAACTACTCTGCGATAGCATCTGATGTAGCATTCGATGCTCTTCCGGGCTAGCCAGATGTTACGGGCCATGCACCGGTTCGGAACAAACTTCGTCAAGTGGAGCCACCTTTCGGCCGGGCTCCTACCAATTCGTTCTTGACACGATATCAGCCTGGAGGGCTACAATTTCCATATCTTATTGTAATTGCTATGTTTGGGGCTCGATACTTTTGGTCCGGCCCCGTGTCACGATAAAAGCATGTAAGAGCATGGTTGGTCGGTTCGCGTTACGACAACTCTGGTGTTAGTCTTGGGCTTTGGCATGGGCGGTAGAGCACGTTGTAGACAATATTCAACGAAAGATAATGCATAATCGTCAATGACTGCTTCATGTTCCATGTGTGTACTTTACCTTTTGCGGACGCTCGTTGGAGGTACATGTAGCTAATGTAGGGAAGTCTACCGAGTTGCACGTGTAACGGGTGACTATACTCGTTTTGACATGACAGCCATCGCACACCACTCAGTAGAAGATAGCCCAGCCGTGTACGCTATGACCGGGCGGCTACAGCTGGATACATGAAAACATCAACGGCCCCGAAAGCATCTGCACAAGAGAAAAAGGATGTGGTGAAGTTACGTGCAATAGACGAAGAAGAGTAAGGTACATGGGATAATGTGTTGTTACGTTACTCAGGTAGCTTGGAGGTCGGCTGCAGCCCCACATATGTACCGGGCTCCTGTCGTCAGCTTTACTTGAGATCGTCGTGCCAACTCCAAACTCATAGCAGCGTGTTCGAATGTTCTGATGCAGCCTTGGTATGCCAGGACGACGAGGCTTGCTATAGGTCGTTACTCGATGGAATCTAATAACTGAGGTGTCTGCGTCGGTGTCACTTCGCTCGGGGTAAAGGCCGACAAGCATGGTGGCGTTGGCTTGGGTGGATTGTTCGTGACATGTGATAGGATTTTGACATGTGAGAGGCGATCGCCAATTTGCTGCCCGGCGTCGTTTCGCGCTGTCATCCCCCTCCAACCCTGCCTCCGGCTCCACGATGCGATAACCGACAATTCCACGCCTCTCGATCGATATTCACAGCTGCGCTACCATGCTGTGCGTCTTCTGAGATTCGCATCCCCTGAAACGACATCATCGCGTCCCCCAATTCGCACTCGGCCTCCGATTACGCTTCCGCGGAGCAGAATACCCCTTCGAGGCGCACCCTCCGCATCATCATTGGGCATTGCGACGGCTTTCACGGGCATAGCGCTGCACCGAACAACTGCTCGGAGAGTCGCAGTGACATCGCCCGGCGTGGTCTGCGCATAGATGAACGTGGGGTAGTCGGGTTGATTAGAAACGTCACGGTCCTGTGAGAATCCTACCATGGAGCAGGAACGACCACTACAGCGTGCCCCGCCGCCCGCATACACGCAACACGAGCCCGAATCGCTGCACCTCCCTTCCGTTCCGACGCATATCCCAAGCCATGTGCCGGATCATGGGAGGCTGCCTGGCATCAAGTCGCTAGACCTGCCGGACACGAAAGCGCGTCATACTCCACACAAGTCGATAGAATACAGCCCGCGGTCGCAGTACGATAGATCGCAATGGGGCATGCTGCCAGTACCCAACAATGCGACGTTCACACGAGCGCCAGAGGGTCTACCGCGTGAAGACGTGGGAAGCCCGATGGATACCGCGAGTGTGCGCAGCATGCAGGATGACAACGTGGGTAGACGGGAAACGAGTGTCAGCATGGATGATCCGGATGTAAGGCTGGCAGCAGAGGCGTTGAGCGGATTGGGGAACCCGGGTATGTCACGACGCTGTTGCGGTTGCTGTTTATGACGCGAAATGCATGCTGACTGACCATCGCAGACTTCGTTCGCTCGCCGACGGCACGATCCCTCACGCTATCTGCTCGAGAATCCACAAGCGAACCCCCAGAGCCACTCCTCTCTTTGATCACGTCAAATCACCCATGGCTTGGAAATGGTATCAACGGCTCCATCTCAGCCTACAACACCACCAAAGGCTACACTCCACGTCTGGTCCAGTACGGTGCTGAGCTCATCGAGCGCAACATTGGATCGCCCATGGTCAACACTGTGTCATCTGTGGGTAGGCGGACGGGTATGGAGAAAAGCCTGCGCCGCTATCTTGGAGACAGACGACCCAGCGACCTTGAGCAGGGAGACGGCGAGAGTTCAAGGAGCAAGAGGCAAAGGATCGCGAGCCCAGCAGATGACGCCATGGACGTGGATGATGCTCTTGCAGCAGCGTCCCGGACAAGAGGCGGCTCACAATCCTCATACTCCGAGTCGCTCCCTGCATACGACGACCAGCGCTCTCCAAACTATGAAGAGGCAGTCATCTCTGGAGAGATAACGTCGCACAAGTCGCCCGAACAGCGCTCAAATACTCCGCAGGATCGTCGCGTCAACTGGTCCACGCAGCTCATCATGACAACGTCCGGTCTCGGTGTAGCTCTATCAGAGACATCATTGCGGTCGTTGAAGCTCTGTCTCGGTCTTCTTCGCAGCGCAACAACCCACATCGACTCCGTTATGCGCGCGCTCAAGCTCGTCCTCGAAGAATACGAAGCTGCCCTCCGCAACCAGAGGCAGTCTGGCGGCTTTGCTGCCCAAGATGACAAGACGCAACTCAATGGCACCATGGCGCAAATGGGCCTCGTCGACACAGACAAAGACGATCAAGTCCGTCAAATTGCTGACCGCATCAAGGTCCTCTCCTCAGACATTTGGCAAACCCTCCAATCCGTCGTGCAGTCCGTGTCCCGCTACACCGGCGGCGCCCTCCCGCAAAACGCCCAGACGGTTGTTCGAACACAATTGCTCTCCGTACCCCAGCGATGGCAGCTCGCCGGCCGCAACGCGAACAATGAACACGCGGGCGGCGACGAGGTCAGAGGCGCAAACCGCATGCTGGCATTTGCAAAAGAGGGGCTGGACATGATGGGCCAGATCACTACTGTCGTTGACGGTACCGTACAAAGTGCCGAGAGCTGGCTTGCGCGGATTGGCAGGAGGCCACAGGGTGAGTCGAACAGCAGCGGTCAGGGACAAGAGCAGAGGGAGAAGACACCGCTTGCGCTTGAGGCGGGTGTGCAAATGGGTGAGAAGAGGTAGGTAGAGGATGGCTTGTTCAGCTCTCTATTTGCAGAGTCAAGGGAAGAAAAGACGAAGACACATGAATCGGAACGGGAGAGAAGAGAAACTGCTTTAGCACTACGATTACTACTACAACAACATACCCAAACATGGTTTCCTATGTCGATTCCTTTCTTTGGAAAACGTTCAGCAAGGCGTCATGATGGAAGAGAAACGGGGTTGGTGTGTGTGAGGGTTTTGGTCGTTCGTTCGCAATGTCCACGACGTTTTCTTCATTCAAAGCGAGAACGAAAATCTGTATTACTCAATGTTATATTATTCATACCTACCTTTACCAATTGTGCTGTGTTTGTGAGGTTGGTTCTGATCACCGTAGTGGGCTGTGATGACCTCCTGATTTTTGACGTTCTAAATCTCTACCCTACGTGGTACGAGCAATAGAAGTGCTAATCCTTTACACACAACTTAAAGAAGGAGGGTGATTACCGCTATTGGCGTTGTCGCGATCCGGTGTTGTAGTGGCTGTGCCCAAGTTTCCAAGCAAACGTGTACAATACCAGACTTATACATGCATACACTGTCACTTATGTCTTCCCAGTATTCCTATATATAGTACTTTAGAATAAAAGGAAGAACTGTCTCCGGCACATGTTACAATGCAAGCATCATGTTAGTGTACGCGTAATTGCATGAGGGGTTAATAGCATCCGCACCTCGTATTCGTGATCGCGAAGTACGACCGAGTGACAGGACAAAACGCGGCGGTGGGTTACGGCCGGAGTGCTTGTGCGCTGGTGTCGAGCGGGGCATCGTGCCGATGAATCTGAGACATGAGGAGGACGGGTTCTGTGGGTGACGCAAAGAACGTGTGTAGTTTGGAGTGAGGTCTAGTGATACGGTCATAGAGGGAAGCAGAGGGAAAGGCGGATTGTTTGGGAAAGAATGCGGAGTTGTATGTGGAATTAAGTTTAGATCATCAGACTTGTCACCATGTTGCGATTACTGGATGGCAACGAGTTAATGAAAGTGGGTAAAATTGGTAGGTGAAGTTGACAAGTCTATCGAAACCAAATGCTCAGATGTCGACAAGAGCGACCGTTTCCCAACTTGAGGCGAGCTTGACCGATGCTTATACGATACAGCCCATCATGGCTGCATTGGACCATATTCGTTGTACTCTATCTTGTTATGGAGTGAATGGAGATAGTTGAATTTTCGGTGGCTCACCAGGATGGGTTCTTCGTCATTTGGGTCTAGCTACTTTCCGTCATGCGAGGCCGTAGTGTTGGAGGTGTCGGTATTTGACGTCGAATTACCGGACGTAGTGGAGTTGCCAGACGTAGTGGAGTTGCCAGACGTATTGGACGCTGCAGACGTCTCCGGCTGATGAGAAGGCTGCTTTGTCTCTGTTTGACCAGACGATGGTGCGCTGGAGACTTGGAAAGGAGTGAAGCGGATGGGTGGGAAAGACATTTTGATAACTATGTCAAAGGTTTGTAGAATTTGATGATCATATGTTCAGTTCTCTTGCAACAATAGAGTGTACAGCAAACCGCGGATTTGATAGTTTAGCTGTATTAGCCATCAACACCGGCTTATATATGTAAGTAGTCCGTAGCTACTGGTGCTCGGAATAGCTCATCATCGCGAGGAAGACGAGCAACGCGATACGCAAATGCGATGCTTTGAACTCACCGGCGGTGAGTCTGCTGAGCCCCCCTGCGTAAGCTCCTGGAAGCTGCTCATAATGAGTCTGCCTTGACCGTGTCTTACCTCTTAACAGAGAGCCAATTGCAGTATGAATTGTCAGAGTACTTAAGAAGCCTTCATATGACTTCGCGTCGTGTTGCTCGCGATGGGATGACACATGACGTAGTACAGCTTGGCTTCTCGTGTCGGTTGCTCAGGCGCAGTATGATCACTGGCTACAGCCATACGTGTAGGCTCCAAGCTGAAACTAAGAGTGATGAAGTAGTGCTGTTTGTTCGTGTTGACCAGAGACATTACGCGCCATGCAGATGCAGTTTCAGTTCTACTGCAAGCCGCGACGCTGTGATACTAATATTAGTGTTAGATCGAATTTGATGTGTGAATCTTCTCCAATCTGTCTGCAGTGTTGCGATAGCAGTAGTCTGAATAGTACCTGATCTTGCAGGCGATATCTTTACCTCAAAGTGGGCTCGAGGTTGGACTGGACATCCAATGCTAATAGGGGAAAGAAAGGTGTTTTTGTATGTCGTTCGCGGCAGTGACGCCTTTCTTGTACATGTAATAGTGTTAGCCTACACCCGGGCACTACGATCAGTTGATGTGAGACTACATGGCGATATGTAGGGACTGCGATAATATCACCCTGCAACTACCGGGTATCTACCGATCCTCGAGTATATCGTGTGTCGATCGCAAGAGCAACGGGTGCTAAAATTAGTCGGTGCGGCTGAAGACCAAAGCTCGAAGCCAGAAAAAGCGTCAATAAAGAAGATGATTTCTGATCAGATAAGAACAAGGTCGATGAGTCGACATGAGTCGCGATATGCAGTGCAACCATCGCGAAGCCCTTGCTGCAGATCAGGGCGTTGAGATGTACCGAAGACTCGTGTGTGAGTCTGGAATGAGCGAGAATGAGTCGCGAATAAAGGGCGCGGTCGGTTTGCCGAAGATGGATGCCGGGTCAGAACACCAATCTCAAGACGGGCTAACGTGCGTCTTCTGCGTGTCCTGAAGTCGGTATTGGAACGTCTAAAATATGGGGGTTCCGACGACGACGAAAGATGGTCGACTCCTTTACCGGTTGTATAGCTAAGTCCGACGAGCGAGGCTTCTTTTGCTACAGAGCGGGGTGGTAGCTGGAAAGGGCTGATGCAGGTTGTCGGGCCGTTGGGGTCGAAGCAGCGGCGGAATCAACATGACTCGATGCCAAGCCGGTGAAGTTGCTGGCTGACAAACGCGAGGTGGACGCGGGTGGAGCCAAAAGCATGCACGCAATCACACCCAGCGGAGACAAGCGACTCCACGAGATTGTTCCCGTTTGATCCTCCTCAACAACAGCATGCCGGCGCCCATTGTCAACATGTCTGCAGGCTCTGTGTTGGGTGCCTCACTTGCAGAAGCACCGCAGTCGACGTCAGAGGCTTGCACGGAGCTGTGCTCGGACTGACGTGCTGAGCCGCATAGTGCTTGTAGCCTTGCGTGCCCAGGGATCTCATCGTCATGTCTGGCGGAATCTAACCGACGTGCATAGAATGCGACCGTACTGTCGATCATGGTGCGACGGAGTGACTCGATTGCGCATTTGATACGCCGTCTCCGTGCGAAGCTGTCCGCTGAAGAATGCGCGCGCGTCAAAGTCTCTCACCGTCCTGCTCCCGCGGATTGATAGTTGCGACAATAAGAGATCTGCCTAGCCGCACGCGGTGCAGCTCCTTAGGATTGCCCACCGTCTTTAACCCTTTCCGATCTCGAGACCCACTCGGTGCTCTTATCTCCGTCGTGTACTGCTTTCTTATTTTATTTAGCCGTTGCGACAGCCCTCGCGCCCTTTGCTGTGCTCCTGTTTTGTTTTTCGAGATATCCATACGTTCCTTATAATTCGCTTCTTTGCCGTGCCTGCAGCTGAGTGAGACATCGCCGCTGCCTGTACCGGTTCGCTACCGCTTAATTCTACGCAGGGTGCGCCCTGTACCACCGCCGCAGCCATGGACAACGCCAGCGTACAGCATACGCAGATCCAAGAGCACACCGAGGGCACCACTTTTGAGGCTATTCATCCCAATCGCAACCACATAAACCGCGACGACGCCAGTATAAGGACTGCTTCCGTCACCGACAGCACTGCGCGCAACTCGGCGCACAACGAAAAGGGTTTCAGCAATGTCACGGGTGGAGTCAACATCCAACGTGCCGAGGCCGACTTTGCGGAACTCTCAAAGGAACTCTCGCGTACCAGCAACATCTCGCGCCGATTAAGTCGCGTACAGAGCAAGCAGAGTCGCAAGGACCAGGCCACTACGGATGTAGAGAAGGCCACTGTTGAAGGTTCAGATTCGTCCGATGAGCCCTTCGATCTCGAGGCAACCCTACGCGGTGGTAAAGATGAGGAAGAGGCAGCTGGCATCAAGTCGAAGCGCATTGGCGTCGTGTGGGACGGTCTCACCGTCAGTGGAATTGGTACGACTCCTCGGTGCATACTACACGCAAAACATACGCTAACTCTCGCACAGGTGGTGTGAAAAACTATGTCAAGACCTTCCCCGACGCGTTCGTATCTTTTTTCAACGTCTTCGAAACCGCTGCCAGCATTCTCGGGCTTGGCAAGAAGGGCAAAGAGTTCGACATTCTGAAGGACTTCAAGGGCGTCGTGAAGCCTGGTGAGATGGTGCTCGTGCTAGGAAAGCCCGGCAGTGGTTGTACCACGTTCCTCAAGGTCATCAGCAATCAGCGATATGGATACACCAAGGTCGACGGAAACGTTCTCTACGGTCCATTCGACGCCGACTTCTTCGAGAAGAGATACAGAGGAGAGGCAGTCTACTGCGAGGAGGACGAGAACCACCACCCCACGCTCACAGTTGGACAAACACTTGATTTCGCGCTCGAGACCAAGGTCCCGGGAAAGCGCCCCGCCGGACTCTCAAGACAAGATTTTAAGGAGAAGGTCATCGACCTCATGCTCAAGATGTTCAATATTGAGCACACCCGCAACACCATCGTCGGCAACCCATTCGTCCGAGGTGTCAGTGGAGGAGAGAGGAAGCGAGTCTCCATCGCCGAAACCATGATTACTGGTGCTTCCCTGATGAGCTGGGACAACTCGACAAGAGGATTAGATGCTTCGACTGCTGTCGATTATGCCCGTTCGCTTAGGGTGCTAACGAACATCTACAAGACGACAACCTTTGTGTCTCTTTACCAGGCCTCCGAGAACATCTACAAGTGCTTCGACAAGGTCATGGTCATCGACAGCGGTCGACAAGTCTACTTTGGACCTGCCCAGGAAGCCCGTGCCTACTTCGAGGGCC